CGCTTCATCTCCTCCAGGCTTTCGTCAGTCATGGGGAGTAGTTAAACTGCATTCACACGATCAAATTCTCCTTGGGAGTTGTCAGTGTTTGCCAGGAACGCTCTGCTCAGGGTTCTGCTAGGTGCATCTCACGGCCTGGTTTGTACACAATGGAGACATCGTATTTCCGCACCTTTAACAACATCCCTTGAAGCCTCTTTGGTGCACTCCTCAGGGATTTACTGGCAATCGCAGGCAACGGCTTGTGGTCACTTTCTGGTCACTTGTCAGTGGACGACCGTAAACGTATTGGTCAAATTTGTTGAGTGCGAAAACTACTGCTAACATCTCCTTTTCAATTTGGGCGTAGCGTGTCTCGGGGTCTGTTAGGGCGCGGCTTGCAAAGGCTGGCCTTTCTGTATTAAGGCAGCACGAAGTCCCTTATCATTTGCGTCACATTGAACGGTCAGCTCTTTTTTGGGTTGTAGTACTTTAGTAAGGGTGCTGCGGTCACAATCGCTTTAACCTTCTCAAATGCTGCTTCATGCTCATGTCGCCATTGCCACCCCACATCGTTGCGTGTCAGCTGCTGTATGGGCTCCAACACCTCTACTAAGCGAGGTAAGAACTTGGCGAGGTAATTCACAAACCAACAAAATCGTCTCACAGCTTGGACGTTGTCTGGCTTAGGCATGTTGCGCACAGCTACAACTTTGTCGGGATCAGGTTTAAGGCCACCTGCCGTGTCTAGGTGTTCGATGTAGGGAATCTCTTTGCACATAACCTTTAGCTTCTTCTCGTTCGGCTTCACACCTTTCTGTCTGCAACGTTGTAGGAACTGTTCCAAGTTCTTATTATGGTCCGCCATTAGTTCTTCTTCTGTGTCACCCACCCCATAAACAACCATGTCGTCATGGATTGTTAGTAATCCATCGAGGCGGTCAAGAGCCTGGTTTAGTCTCTTTTGGAATATTTCACTGGCCACACTAATTCCAAATGGTAGGCGTTTCCATCGGTACCGCCCGAAAGGTGTGTCAAAAGTCGTCAACTTGCTTGACTCGTCATCGAGTTGCACGTGCCAATATCCATTTCATGCGTCAACTTTTGTAAATACTTCGCACGAGAAAGATCTGGAAGCACATCGTCTATTATTGGCAGAGGGTACCTCTCTCTCTTCAAAGCTTTGTTCAGCTGTTTAGGATCCAGGCAAAGACGCAGATCGCCAGACTCTTCCGTAGCAACAACCATGTTACTGACCCCGTCGGTGGGTTCATCAACAGGCATCAGTACGCCGATGTCTGTCAGTCTCTCTAATTTTGTCTTTAACTACGGTTTGATGGCAAATGGTACCCGTCGCGAAGGGGATACGTTAGGGAGAACTGTAGGATCCACAGGCAGATGTTGCTTTCCTTGAAGTGTCCCCAAATCGCCTTCAAATACATCTTTATATTCTTCGATATCTCTTGGGCTGTTTTTGTTCCACTGGCCTTGTCCATGGTTTTAGTCGCAGCGAACTCCTCAAAGATTTCTTCGTGGGATTCAATCAGGCCCATTTGCTGAATAACTTTGGCGCTTAGCAACGGGGTCAAATTCTCTTGACGACGATGAATTCAATTGAGTACCTCCGGCGGTTTTTTGGATTGCGTAAGGTCACGCGACATGTCCCTTCCGGTTTCAATTCTGTTTTGTTCCACATCTGCAGAACACGTTTACTCGGCTTAATGTCTTTTACGTTGACATATTTGATAGGTAATACATTTACCGTGGCGCCGCAAGTCAAGTCAAAGTCAAGTCAATTTTTATTTAAAATCACACACAATAATCATAATTAATACAAATTAGTGCTTTAAAATATAAAATCGAGAGATTGTGAAGGGAAAGAAAATTTCAATTGTAGGTTCATTGTGCAGAGTTTGGGACGCCTAAATAGTTCGTGGAACTAACCAAGTAGGTGACCCAAACAAGAATATGAGTAGAAGGAATTTAAATGCAAAATAGTTGTTTTAGATAAAACGTATTTCTTCATTAAATAAATAGTGGTTAAGATAATATAATTTTAAAACATTAGGAATCAATAATAGTATTATAACCATCAATCACAGAATTCTTGATATCTTGACGAAAACTGGAAAACGGCTAGATTTTCTTAACATCAATAGCTAAAGAATTCCAAAGTTTTGGACCAGTGTATATCACTCAATACGGCATTCGTTCTCTCACTATGAACAGATTTAACAAACAGATTATCAGTCTAAGATTGACGTGTATTATATGAATGAATTGAAGATACTGGGTTAAAATAATTAACAAAACAAGAAGGGCTTAGTTTATGGTACCACTGATAAACAAAAGAGAGAATTTCAAGGTGAATTATATCAGAGAGTTTTAGGAGTCTGAGAGACATCTGCAATGGCTCAGAATGAGATCTAGGGTCGGAAAAAGTCATTATTCCGACGACTCGTTTTTGCAAAGTAGTTACTGGTTTTAGGGTGGTTGGGTACGTGAGTCCCCAAACTTGAATACCATCAGTAAGAAAGGGGTAAATAAGGGAATAGTAAAGCATGATAAGCATATCAACATTAACATAGTACCTTAATTTGGAAAATACACCTACAGTTTTCGATAGTCTTGAGCAGAGTTCATTAACACGATTTTTCCAAGTCAAGTTTGGGACCTAAGTATTTGACCGTGGAAACTTCTTGGATGTTCACACCATCAATTTTTAGACTTAATGACTTGTATGGTTTCAGTCTCTTAGAATGAAAAAGAACAAAATTAGTTTTCAAAATACTGAGAGCTAGTCTATTCGATTTCATCCACTCAGCCACTGCATGGAGCTCTTGATTCAGGATTAGTTCAAGATCATTAAGGCTTTTACGTGAAAAATATATATTAGTGTCATCAGCAAATAAGTGAAAACTGAGCAGTTTTGAGGTGTTCGGTAAATCATTAATATATAGAAAAAACAACAGAGCTCCAAGAATGGATCCCTGAGGTACTCCACAAGTGAGAGAATCAGAGTTATGGCCATTTATACATACAAATTGTTCTCTATTGGACAGGTACGAATGAAACCATTCCTAGGCTTTTCCTCTCACTCCGTAATGATTCAGTTTTGATAAAAGAATGGAATGATTAACTGTATCAAATGCCTTTTTTAGATCAATAAAAATGCCACAACCAAACTCATTGTTGTCAACTGAGTTACGGATTGATTCAGTAATTTGTATCAGTGCATGATTTGTCGAGCACTTTTGCCTAAAGCCAAATTGAAGTGGATAAAGAATGTTACAAGATTCAAGATAGCCATAAAGGCGCTTATCATAGCCTTTTCAAAAATTTTACTAAAAATGAATAGAACTGATATTGGCCTATAGTTATCTTTGTCTTGCCTAGAGCCTTTCTTAAAAACTGGGGTAACTTTTGCCAATATAAGTTTACTGGGAAAAATACCACAAAGAAAAGAATCATTAATTAGGGATGAAATAAGTGGGGAAATATGAGTCTTAAGAATTCTTAGCAATGGGGCTGGAATACTATAAGGACCAATGGATTTGTTAATGTCCATTTGAGAGATGTATGAATCAACTTCAACTGAAGTAACAGGGGAGAGAAACATTGATGGACAACAGTTTCCACACGGAATGTCTTTGTCAGTGTTTTTACCCACATTAACAAAGAAATTATCAAAAATGTTAGCAATAGCACAGGGATTGTCAACAGTTTTTCCACTTTCTAAAATACTGGGAATGTAATCAGCTTTAACTTTACTAATGTTGATGATTGATCTAATTCCAGACCAGATTTTTTCACACAAAAAGTAATTCTTGAAATAATCAGATTTGCTTGCTTTAACATCTTTGACAACACTATTCCTGAATTTCTTATGAAGATATATCAAATTTGGATTTGAATGTTAACACTTAATGATTTTGGAATAGAGCTTATCTCTATATCGAATTTTGACAAGAATATGTTTAGTAATCCAGGGCTTAGTAGATAACCTAATTTCACGTTTGGAGAGCTTTCTACGTGGTACATGAGAATTTATAAATTGAGATATCTGATCATAGAAGATGTCAAATTTGGTGTTGGCATCCGTGTAATCACTTGAGATGTTATTCCAGTCTAGAAGTGAGAAATCATTGACAAATTTCTCTTCATCAAATTTGAAAAAGTCATTTTTATGATAATTTAAAACTTTATAGTTTACTTTGAGATTGTCTACAATCAGGAATTGAGGAAGATGATCAGAGATATTAGAGACTAGGTTAGCACTTATGGCATTCATAGCATAATTATTTGCAAATATATTGTCAATGAGGGTTGCTGATCTTTCAGTAATACGTGTTGGTTATAAGATATAAGGTAGGAGAAAAAAAGAGTTTAGCATTAGTAAAAAATCGTTAGATTCAGGATGACTTTGACAATTTAACAGGTTAATATTAAAATCACCCATAATGAAGATGGACTTATTTTCAGTAGTTAGCTGAGATGGAGTTGACTCCAGATGTTCTTTGAACCTTACAGGGCTAAAGGAAGGGTGTCTATAGGCACAGCAACATAAAATATTCTTAGCTTTAGTATTACCTATTTCAACCCAGATAGTTTCAAATTCATCATCAGTTAGACTTAGGTTTTTCATTGATGAGCTTCTGTGCGTAAATTTCTCGTTCTAAGATAGCGTTGACAGTGTGTGTCGTCTCCGGTGTTGTTGTTACAGAAAACAGATACTCTTCGCTCGATTCTGCGTCTGATAAGCCTTCACCCACTTGATGAGTTTTTACCTTGCTTTTGCATTGTTTGGCGAAATGATTTTTCTTGCCACATGCTTCGCACACTTTGCCGTATGCAAAAGAGTTAGTTTTTCCTACGCGATGTTTACCTCCACAGCGATCACGTGGTTTCTCATTTCTACGGTTATTGAAATGTTTCTTGTTCTCTGGTTTCATGTCACGTCGTTTCTGTTTATGCGTGAATTTCACCTCGTGGACATCATCTTGCTTAGACGCTTGATCCATGGACTGGATTTGTGTCTTCGAAACTTCGTCACTTTTCACGATATCGATGCATTTATTCAAGGTTAGCTTATTTTGGCGTCATAGCCGCTTGCGTGTTTCCCCATCTCGGATGCCAAGGACAATGCGGTCTCTTATGAGCGAGTCTTGATGGGATGTACAGAAATTGCACGATTGTGCCAGAGTTCTCAGTTCTGCCACGTACCGGTCGATAGGTTCGCCTTCCTTCTGTTCGCGTCTGTTGAAAATGTAACGCTCATAAGTTTCGTTCGTTTCTCCAACAGCGTAATTATAGAATTCTTTGATTATTTCGGCTAGTTTCCGGCGGTTCTCCTCATTCATGCCAAAACTGTTGTATGTCTTCACAGCTTCCTGGCCAATGGAATATAGGAACGATGCAACTCTATAATCCTCGCTCTGTCTGTCTAGCTGAGCTACGATGGAATAGTTCTCCCATTGCTGCTTGTAGATTTTCCAATTAACAGCCTTATCCTTGCCAGACAGATTTAGCCCGGTCGGCGGCTGTATACCTTGAATAGCGGGTGGTTGTGCTTGTGCTGTGCCGGCGGGTCGTTCCTCCGGAGGATTTACCATCTTAAATTGCTCTATCGAACGATTTGACAGTTCGATTACAAAAATCCCACCGCTGCCACCATGTTAAGTGTTCTACAAAGATACTCAATGTTATTCCGATCATAGTCTTTATTCAAGAGATTAAACAATAACAAAACATAAAAGATATTCTAGTATGTCGATCACGTGCCTGTACTATTACTATAATTGTATTTATAGGAACTTGTACATCACCTAACAGTGTGTATCTGCCAATAGGCTGAGTTTTTCCGAGTTATCCGATGATATTTGGCTTGTGTTAAACGTCTGAGGATTATGCGTGGTTGTGGATAGTCTTAGCAGTGCCGCGAAAGTGTTTGATTGTGTGATTTCTGCATCAGTTTCGCTAAAATATGTGCCAGCCGTTTCTTCTGTGCTTAGGTTAGCTGATTGTACGTTGGAAAAGCAACTCTCGACTCAGGAAAATTGGCTCTGGGTCTAGTTTCAGCGGGTTCCAATGGCTTTGAACCAAAAGGCCGGTTTTTACAGATAAGAAGGTGATAATTTGTGTAGTATGTTTCATTCAGTTTTTTGTCTATTCCATGCGATCGGACCGCGAAAAAATTAGTGCTTTGCCAGCTATTTAACTTGTTAAGTAAGCCTTAACCAGGCACCTTTTCGCTGCAGTTCACTCAACTTTAAAATTTCTAGACTGAAATAACACCAGTGTAAAACTTCACGGAGTCGGATTACTAAATAAATGTTCTAGAATTTGGGTCATTTTAAATTTGGACTCGTTGAAATTCTTCTAGTAAGTACTAAGTTACTGCCCGGAGTTAGACAAAGGCTTTTAATTGGCCTTTTAATGAAGTTTTATTTTTTAAAATTGCCAAGCAGTAGAATGAGATGATTTTTTGCAAACCCGGTTTTCAAAAATACAGGTACATTTATAATAACAATAATAATAATAATCATCATCATCATTTAGCTCTATGCGCTTAACACAATGATATTCGCAGATAGTAAAAAATAAATAAACACTTTTGAAATCGATATTAAAAAAAATAGGTCTTAAGGTTTGATTTAAAAGTTATTAAATTGTCAATAGATTTTATGTCATCAGGTAGCTTATTCCAAAGTTCAGGGGCGGAGATGGCCGCGAATGCCCTTTCACCATAACGGTCGTCATGTTATAATCAGTCCGGGCTAAGAGTAAAGTAGATGATGATCGAAGCATGCGTGCTGGACAATACAGAGTTAAGAGTTCTTTGATGTAGGAAGGCGATAGGTCATGAAGACAACTGAAGGTTAAAAGAGCAATTTTAAATGTAATACGTTCGGCAATGGGTAGCAAATGCAATTGCATCAATAGAGGAGTTTTAAAATTCCGTCTTTGCTCCATGTCGCCAAGAGTTACAGTGGAGCATGCATGGAAACTGAGGACACATCTTACAGGCGTTTTAAATCATGAAAGAGAAACTCTAGCGTTTCTAGATGTTTTCCAGTGCTCACATGATTCCAACTGCACTATGAATGTCTTACTGCGTACCTTAAAAAGAATGGAGTACATTCCTGATAAGCTCCGATTACAAATGGACAATTGCTGGCGGGAGAACAAGAATCAGTTTGTAATTGCTTTTCTCGCCCTGCTTGTAAAACGTAAAATTTTCAGAAAGGTAAGAGGGTAATGAACATCCAAGGCGGATTATTAGGCATTAAGCAATATATTTAAAAATTCATTATAGCTGTCGGATGCCTTACTGGTTAAATATTGATGCATTGTGTTGTCGGTAGTCCACAAAGCCGTATATGTGTATGTATGTGTAATTAAATGATGACGAGTGAAACTAGGAAATATTTTTGGCTAGGGAAATTAAAGGAATTTAGACAAAGGCAATTGAAATTTATGTATTTTCACGAATATGCCTTTTGATTACCTAATATATGATATCACTCACATAGCACTCACTGAGTCATACGTTTTAAATTGTTTATTGTCAGGAGCCATTGCTTCGTTTAGAGAACTCAGGCCAAGCACTGAAAAGTTTAAAGCATGAGTTCCTAATTTTCTGCATTTTTCGTCAAAACACCTTTTTAGAATCCTTCTTGCTGTTCTTGCTGTTAATTTTTTTTCTTTCGTGAATTTAGGTTATCTACAGCGACATTAAATTCCCCGACATCACTTACTGGTAACATCTTTTTAGTAAACTTGGACGCCATCTTGGCACTGAGATATGAGGGGTTGTTGTCATAGCCATATTTTTGGTAATTTCAAAGTAACAAGCATTTCTTCTTTCCTATTTTTTGGGGGGGTAAATGGCTTCTTTTTTACTTTTTGGTAGCTAGGTTAAAATAAACTTTCTCATGGTCGGACACACCCACGAGGACGTGGACCAATTTTTCAGTCGAATTAGGGAATCTATTCTCAAACACAATGTCTGCACTCATGATGGTAATGTATATGCGTTATTCACCAATGTGTGAGGTCCACATAGCTTCATGCAAGGCCAAATTCTATTTTTGGCCTCCCTATCAGGACTTTGAGAAAGTGTCTGTCCAAAAACCTCAAATAATTTTAATAGTAATATAAGTAATAATAATGCTTCCATTTGTATGATTTATTTAGACCTAATAAAAACAATCAGGAACGCGTACAACCCAGAACCTTTTGTCGAGGTATTGACCATCATGTTTGATATTTGTACTTGGTTAGCGCCTGCAAGGATTAACTTTCACAATATCAGTAGCCCTCGCTGTTTCGTTTTGGAGGAGAACTCGAAAGGGGATGTTGTACTAAGGTACAAAAATTGGTCGAGGGACAAGGGGTGGAAACCAAACCGGAATCCTGATGACTGCATCACAATTTTGCAGGTGTTATTGTGTTAAGAATTAAGAAATTCGTTTTAAAATCCTTTTTTTTCAAAATGGCCAATCAATAGGCTTATTTGAGTCACACGTACACCTCTGTAATCCCCAATACAAATCAAATTGGCTTAAGAGTTATTAAACAATTGAATCAACAAGCCTGGGACCAGGCTGAAATTATTCGCGTCCGAACTGTATGGGCTTTTCATATCCGATTAGTATGTACTAATAGCGAAGACTTATTATAATTTAAACTAAACACGAATGGCAGTAGCCTGCGTAGCATGGCGGTTTTGTCGAGCCGGGCGCAGGAGCGGCGTAGCCGCGAGAAAAATAAAAACCGCCTGCCCGGATTCGTGGCCTTTTCAACTGCCGCCCCCTTCAACTCATTTTGGCATCCTGTTGACAACTTGTTTGGTTTCAGTTTTCCCAGCCAATCAGAAATAAAGTGTTGACAGCCTAAACACGACACAAAAGCTCGTGATATAGTGTAAAACGTGACCTCGGCCGGAATTGGAGATTGCTTGAAGAAACACGGGTTTTTTCTTTGTGGCTATCTCGCGCATAGGTGACTACACTGCGTTCTAAACTTGACTGAGTAGATCTTATTTTTGCTGCACTAAGTCTTACATTTATTTAGAGGTCATGGAGTTGGTTTGTTTAATCCGTATTGAGTAATTATTTCCTGTGGTTAATGTTATTTTCGCTAATTAGAATTTGTTGATCTCAGATGCAGTTGTAAAGTACTAATTTCTTTGACCACTCTTAAAGCCTAAAGCTTTTTATTACGGCTAAATAAATATTTTAGTTTCTTTGGTCTTTTCCGACTAAAATGGCTGGATCTGGACAACTACAAACCCAGGAGCCTTGGTTTGTGGTTTCTTTGTCACTGCTTTGTCCGTGAATGTTTTGGCGCTGGGCCCGGCTTTTTAAGTGTTGTTTGGAGGATGTTGTATTTTTACGTATAGCGCGATCTTCAGATTTGAGTTGTAGCTTAAGCTACACCAAGCAAAAAAGTATGGAGAATTACGCTGTGCGTCTTTCTTCTACCGTATGCGATTCATCGACCACAATCGCGGACACCGTTCGATGTATTGCGCTGGAGTGCGTTATTCTCTAACACCGAGTAATAGAGAAAATTGAGGTGAACTTTCTCGAAGCACTGAAATTTACTGTTTCTGTCATAAGGTCCATTGCTGTACAGCTCAGCGACAACATTTCAGATATCTGGTCGTCGATAGTACTTTTTAGAGGGGAAATTGTGATCATACAGGTTTTCGATGAGGATATTTCTTCTTTGGCCATAGCAAAGACAGTAAAAATCATGCTCTTGCCAAATCTTGTTGACAAAATTTCCATGACATCTCTCCTTTGAAGAATACTGTAAATGGCCATTTCCTGTTTAGAATTCAATACAATTGCCCTGTTTTCCCGTCAAATATTCAAGATCGACGACGCTCCGGTCAACGCTTCTTTGACATTTTGATTTTGTTTTGCAGAGATGATTTGTTCAGTCCCTCGAAACTCTCCCATGGGAGATTACCAAAATATTTGATTGACAGGCGAACATTCCGAACCAATCGGAA